AGCAAGATGGGAGGAACCCAAGTCATTGATGGAATGGTAGAACTTCCGACTAGACCAATGGGTGAGCTAGCTGCCATCCAGATTTCTTGTTAGTGGAATAATAAATCCCTTTACAACTTAATATATCCTGAGTTGTGTTTTCTGGTACTTGAGTTGAAAGCATCCTCTCAAACAAGCGTGAATAATGGGAATCAGAGAAGGAACAGACTAGTGGATGAATCAGGTGCTTAATTCTGAATATATACATATGTGTGTGTGTATGCATATATACCTATATGCATTATATGTATTTTATGCATACATAGGTGTATGTATATAAATATATTTATTTATATATATTTTTTTCTTCTTGAAGCACTGCAGTACAGTAGGAAAGATACGGGACTTTGGGAGTCATTCAGCTTCTGCTACTACCCGGCAGTAGTACTTTGGGTAGTTTATTTCATTTATATGATCCTCATCTTCCTCTATAAAATAACACAGTGATCCCTACCTCATTCAATTTCATGAGAGTTAAATGAAATGATGCATATACAGTTCTTGGCACAGTGCCTAAAGCATGTACACCTTCAACATATGAAATCTGTTGATATTGTTTCTTTTATACAGACAAAAAATATTTCTTGAGTGCCTACAGTGCACTGGACACTTCCCTAGGCACTGATTATAAGGGTAAAAGAAACACAATATAATTCCTCCTGTGGAGGTTATAATTTGACTAATAATGATACAGATAAAGGTATAATTATAAACTGAGATGAGTGCTGTGAAGTGGAGGTATACAGTATTATGAAATCATATAATAAGTGAGTCTGACCTTGTCTGGGGGTTAAGGTAGGCTTCACTGGGAAAGTGGCATTGAGTTGGGGTTGGGGTGTGGTGGGAAAAACATCAATCTAACTTATTACAAACAAATACATTTAATTACTTGTTTTTAGACTGTAAACTTCTCTAAAATCAGAAATTATGTTCAGATAATCATATATTCATTCATGGATATTCTTTGTATCCAGCATAGTAACCAGGCTCATCACAATCATAAATATTTGGGGACTGAATAAGTGAAGCTCTCTGACTCTCACTCCCCTTGTCAAAAAAATGGGTATAAATGTCTATTTCTATGAAGTGAAGAATATAAAGCACTGGAACACATAGTGAGGACTCAGTAATTAGAAGTTGTTATTATTATTACTATCATTATTGATTTATGATTTCTGTATGTTATCTCTGCTACTATAATGTAAGCTCTGGGGTGAAGGGAAATGTGTCTTATTAACTTTAATTATACCAGAGTTCTCAGCACAGTGACCTGTATAGAATAAATTCTCTGTAAAAATTCAGATGATACAGAACATTCTTAATTAGGAATTAAATTGACAAGTTAAAGAGACTATGTCCATTAAAATACTTGATGTTGAGTTTTTGGATAGAGATAAAAAAAATATTAAAAAACTAAAACCTTATAAAAACAAGTCCGAATCCTTGGGGGGGGGGGGGGGAGATAACAGTAGAACAATCAAATAGAATATCATGCATGTAATAAAAACACATTGCACTTATATTTTCTCTTTTCAGTTGATTGATTGATGAACTGATTCATTTTCAAATTGCTTGTCTCCCCCCACTAGCAGCAGGATCTTGTCTGACTGGTTTGCTTGCTGCATTCACACACCTAGAGCTGCACCTTGCACATAGCTGGTGGACAAATAAACACCTGCCGAAGAAAGAAGCATACACACAAAAATCAGTCTATATTACTGATGAATGTGTATGTGCCTTTGCAAAAATATAAAAGGACTTTGGATTTATAAATAGGAATCTTCGGGTTGGGAATGTTGAGGGGTCAGGGGTTTGGTGGATAGGACTCAGCATGGCGATTAGAGGGGTCTCTACTTATATGTGAAATGGTTAATTTCTTTTAAAAAATAGACAAGAGCACAAGATGAGAAAATATTAAATATTCTGGTGGTGAAAATTTGAATGTTATGTTATTCTTTGCATTTTTCTGTCTTTTAAATTTCTCAAAGCCCTAGCTGGGTAGCTCAGTTGGTTAGAGCATCATCCTGATATGCCCAAGTTGTAAGTTCAACCCTGTCAGGGGCATAAAAAAAATCAACCAATAAATGAATAAATAAGTGGAACAACAAATCGGTGTTTCTCTTTCTCTATCCCCTCTAAAAATCAATTTTAAAATAAATAAATTGTATCTAAAAAATTTCTCGAAACAAAAAAAAATTGTTTAAAAGTCTGGATGGAGAAGAGTGAATTAACCCTTGTAGTTTTACAGGATCTAAAGCTCTCTGATGTGCCATTAGTTACACTTAGTCATCACAATAATTTTGAAGTAATCATTATCAGTCTTATTTTAGTCAAGAGAACAATGAGACAAAGATTGATGAAGGGCTTGCTGTGACCACCTCTCAAGTCAGGACAATGCTTGGCTGAGGACCAGATCTAAGCATGAATTCTCTTTCAAGAGACAACATCAACATCCTTCAAATATGAGCACTAGGATGCCTGGCCTGTGTGGCTCAGTAGTTGAGCATCGACCCACGCACCAAGAGGTTGCTGGTTCGATTCCCGGTCAGGGCACATGCCCAGGTTGTGGGCCTGACCCCCAGTGAGGGGCGTGCAGGAGGTGGCCAGTAGATGTTCTCTCTCATCGATGTTTCTATCTTTCTCTCCCTCTCCCTTCCTCTCTCTCTAAAAATCACTAAAAACAAAAGAAATATGAGAGCTAGGAAAGAGGTAAAAAGAAATTAGTTTTGAAGCCCACAGTCATGAGACCTAGAAGAGTTAAATGTGATGAATAAGCAAATATTTTAATATAAGTAGAAAGTATACTCCAAGTTGCTTAAACATTTTAAGGCTTATTTTCTTCACCTATCAAAGAGGGTATTTACCCACCTCCTAAGATTTTGTGAGGAATATATAACATGTATATATATATAAAACATAAATTGTATAATTTATGTAAAAGATCCAGCACAACATCTGGCACTTAACAGATGTTGAATATTTGTGCATTTCTTCTTGTTTTCATATGTTCCCATGTATTATGTTGAACCATTGGAAATTGCCTTTTTTGTCAGTAAAATGATTGAATGTGGGCAATTTCAGTTCCATGTTATCACTCTATTAACATAAGCTCTGATACCATTATCAACTACCTCATCTTGAATTCACATGTGAGGGAAGGGCAGACCAGAGTTTAAATAAAACTGATGAGTGTTTGGGGCTTGGCTTGAAAGGCTATTTGCAAGGATAGATAAAAGGGATTTGCAAGTGTGTGAGGAGGAGAGGATAGTCCAACTGACAGAGATGGGTTTACATCATCTGGGTTAGGCAACTACAAACCAGACAGCTGCTCAATAGCTTTTGGCACCAAACTATATTGACCAGCTGGAATAGCATTAATGTTTAACAGTTCTATTCTTATGACCATATCTTGGTCAATTAGGTTGTCTTTGGCTACCAAAGGGTATAATATATTCTGATGTAAATGCCGCATGTGTGTCTGCATAGCACGTATTCTGTTATACTGATGGGTTGTAGAATATACACTAAATATAAATGCATTTGATTCTTCTGAACACCAGGACAGTGTGATTACAGAGGAATAAAATTAAAATATGCCTTTCTCTTTCTTTCTTTCTTTCATTCATTCTTTCTTTCTTTAGAAAATAATCATTATTCTGGGAAACATTTTGTATGAGTATGCTGGAAACAAAGGGATCCAAATAATTTAAATAATTTCTAAGGTGACTTTTTAAAGAATGATTATAGAACAGGAAATATGGCTAGAGAAAGCCAGTTTTGTATAATACATTCATATAAATAAATACAGAAGGACAAATATAATCAGAGAAGACAGTAATTGAAGAACCTTCACAGAAAACTGCTTGAAGTGTCAGGAAAAACATTCAGGCCATTGTCATTAGCCTCTAAAGCCATTTCAAAATATTTCTAGCTAGGTCCTCTCCAGATAGTGCCTTTAAATTATGGAACAGACAAAACAAATAAGGACAAAATATAAGACAATTGAATATCATGACATTTCTCAGAATGCTTCATACACTAAAATTTAATACATTAAAATACTCAGAATATTTTCAGAACCTGCAATTGTGGCATTTGCAGACTAAAAATTGTAATACAAAGTTTTGTACAGTAGCAAAAAACAGTCATCCAAACACAGAACCCTTACTTACTACGTAATGCAAAATGCATGTGGATAAAGGATCTCACCTGTGAATTGTTTCAATTTTAAATCATTTGCAGTTTATTTAATTTGACATCCAACTGAATTACCTTGGTTACTTTCATGAGCATCTCTGGATTGACCTAATTTTCCTTCTCCATAAAATAGGTGCTTGTTTGGCTACCAATGACTGATTGTTCCTCGTCCCAATGGAAAGCACTAAAAGTAACATTAATGTTCCTCTTCAAAGAGAACTTTATACGGGGAGTATCAAAAATAAGGAGGCAACCAAACAAGCACTCCTTACATCTGTGGAACTGCTTAATCATCTGATAGAAGTCAAATAAAACACTGCCAGTTTTATGTATATATACATTTGCTGATGCTTTCACAAGCTATTAAGGAAGCCCATTTTTATGGTCTAGTTCATTTCTTTTCCTCCTTCAGATGTAGGGCTTTTACCAAAACTTGGAGACAATAGTTAATGGGGTATCAGTTGTGGAAAGGACTTTAGAGTCATCTAGTTCACGTCCCTCGGGTGTAGATGAACAGCTCGAGGTGGGGGAAGCTTCCACCACTTGTTTACATTCGAAAGCCAGTAAGCAGCGGAGTCCAAACGAGATACCAGCTGTGTACTGAGAACTGGATGAATACCCTTTCCTCTAAATTGTCCTATCTTACTACTTGTTAAACCACCTTTCCCTTAAACGAGTATGTACCCACTGAACATTTCCAGACTGAATAATCAGCAACTTTGCTATCGTGGTTTTGCTTTTCAAGGTATTAGTGGGGTAGCTTTTCAAGTTGAAAATCCTGGGATAAAGGGATCCTGGGCGTGCGATTCCGCCTGGGAGCCTGCCTGTAGGAGGTGTCCATGCTCATGGTGCTCCGTCTTCACCTTGCACTGGCACTCCTCCACCAGCATCACCACCTTGACCACGGGGGTAAGGTCTGAGCAGTTCAGCCGCAGGTGCGTGGTGGTGAATTTGGCAGGCGAGCAGTGGAAGCAGAAGGTGTGAGGATGCTGTGCAGCTCCAGGAAAACGAACAGACCCACATTTCCCGAAACAGAGGTTGTTCTGTACAACCACGTCCTCACAGTCTTCATGGGCGATAGTCTAAAAGGCAAACACATCTCTTTTAAATTACCTCGTGTCATTTCATTAACACATGTGATGATGCAGAAGCTATAGACTGTAAGTCTGAGGATAATTTAGACTAAAATTTCAAAAACTTGCCAATGTTTTGCAATATCCAAGTAATGGAATCTATAAGGGTGAAAAGCCACCTCGACTAAGTATTTCTTTTACTGAGTAATATAGTAAATTAACCTGTAAGAAGTCCTTAAGTTAACACGAAAATATTTTACTCTATTTTTTAGAAGCCAAACTGTCTAACTGGATGTTGCCAGTCAAAAAAAAATTCTAACGAATGGCTTCTTGTGTAAGTAATGTGCCTTACCTTTCTGTTCCTGGCGGAGCATTGTGCATAATAGATTCTCAATACATGTTTGTTCAGTGTCATACAATGGATCAGAATATCATGAGTTTCATTCTATCTCATTCTGCAGGGCCTATAGTACATTCAAATCTATGAAATTGCATGGAGCAAAGTTGCAATACATGTCTGAAAATCACTATGCATGACATTACCTTTGCCTCTCCTGCAACCCAAAACCCCTAGCTTTATGTAGCCTTCAAAATATGCAAGAATCAAGCACCTTAATTTAAATTTAATTAGCAATAGAATTTAAAATAAGAGTTTCAAAGGAAATTTGATTACATAATTCTTAGGAGCAATTTTCTAGTTGCACATGGCCAACAAAGCAGCCATTATTATTTGATAGTTTACTTGCTATTGTTACATATCCTTGCCTTTTTAGGCAGAATAGTAAATTGCTTTGCACACCCAATTACCTTATTATACTGCCTGTTTAATTGGGTAGCATTATTGGACTGTAAAATTTTACTCTACCCTGTATTGCTTTTGGTTCAGTATCTTTATGTTTAAAGAACCTGGTGCAATTTCTCAATTTTAATTTAACATTTGGAGTAGGGGGGTTGCCAGGATTACTAGAGGGAGTAGAATAATAGAATGCCCCTTCGTCTTAATAGTGTGGAATCAGTCATGATAGCCGCAAACCAACCAACACAGCGAGAATCAGGAATTACGTATTACTAAGGCGAGAAAAGGTGATTTCACATCAAAATTATTTTTTTAACATATGAGTAAATAAGTTAAGTTAAATCATTTGGTAATACTAGAAATGATATGGTAACTTATTATATAACATTATACGACAACTTCAACATATTTTATAGACCCATGAAGTACTCACATGTGAAATACAGGGATTAAGACCATCATATATGAGCATGAGAGTGTTTTAGGAGGAGTGCAATGGAGTTGACCCACTCACTCACATCCTAATAGAATGTACAGATATAGCTAGAGAGAGTTCTGGTGATTGCTCTAAATTCCCAGTTTCCTAACTAAGGGTACTGTTTTCCTTATCTCTCTAGATAGACCATCCCCCCTTGTAAAACGAAATAAATAAAGCCACATAAAACTCTGTGTCATCAATATGAATGATTCCTAATATTGACAGCACAATTGTACCATTCCTGCAGCATTGCCAGAATACCAAGAAACAATGGAAAGTTTAGAAGGAAAATTAGGGAGTATGAGCATACTTTGCCCAACCCTGTGATGAATGCCCAAGGACCACGTCCGGGAGTTCGGCAAGACTTGGGCTCCCGCAGCCTCTTCCGCTCCTTGTCACCTGTCCCAGCTGTCCACCCCCGTCCTGCAAACCCTGATCCCCTCTCCACCCAGGACAGGTACCTGGCTGAACGGCACTGTCCTACAGGTCTCCTGATGCACTTCATGGCTTTTGATGGGCAAGATGACACCCTGAGAAGCCGGGCTCATTCTGAACATGAAGTGGTGCCAGAATTTCTTGGCTTCTTCCTGAAGAGGAGACTTCTTCGTTTGCATCCCATCCTTGGACGGACCGAGGGCCTGGGTCCCAGGTAAGAAGTGCTCACTGGCTGGGTCCTGGGTTGGGTGCAGTTCTCTCTCAGGCTTCTTCCAGAACCTGCCAAACCTGAGCAGCATCTTCTCTCTCTGCCTCTGGCCTTCCCGGGCAGTGCTGGCACCGATCAGGTGGGGCACTGCAACGAACAGATCCGGCTTCTCGGCCTCCTCGTGGTTGCCGATGGGAAGCTCTCTGTGATTCCTTCCTCGGAGCACAAGAGGACCAGGACTCGAACCCTGGCCGCCATCTTCGGGCCACGCCGCCTTCCCCAGAGGCAGGAGCAGCAGCAGCTGGAGTAAGAGGAGACGCATGCTGCCCGGGCCAGGCTTCTTTCAGATTCACAGGTGGCGAGGACCAAAGGAGAGGCTCACTTCCCCCGGACAGTGAACAAGGAGATGGATCCCATATATAGATACCTGCCCCGTGGGCCGGGAAGGCAGGTGGTCCGCAGCTAGGCAGTGTAAACACATTTGTTTGCTTGAATTATGTAGTGCTAATGGGGTCCTGCCTTCACTTTGGTTTTGTGTATTTTAGAAGACCCCAGTGAAAGCCTGGGACCCAGGGGGTCATTAGCTGCCACTTTATCGTCTGAGATTGGAACAGCAGTTTTAGTGAAAACAACACATTCTTTGCCCAATTTCCCATCACTGTTATTAGAACGACCAGGGTCAGCTAACATTTGCAGTGCATCTGCTTTGTGCTGGGACAAAGTAGACAAAAGGTGTTTTTATGAGAGAAGTATATCAGATAAAAATTAAAGGCAAAAGCCCAATCCTTCAGGCTACACACACACACACACACACACACACACACACACACGAACAGCCAAAGAAGAATATCAAAATTGTAGGAAAGGGAAAGAAATAGAGAGATGTTAACTCTTGAGCAGAGGACTTTCCCTCTTACTCCGATGTGATTGGGATTGTTGATTTTGTGTGGTAACAGAGTTAAAGGGAAACTCAAAATTTCCAACTTCTTCTCACTTTACAAATCAAATACTTGATGCTAAATTCACATCTGGTCAGATAAACTCTTTCAATTGTTCACAAATTTCTCAATAAGACACTAAGTAATGGATTGCTCATCAGTCTTCATTGCAAATGGGGAAGTGTCTCCCTACTGATTTGTTTTTCTTTCTCTAAAGAGCCAGACTTGAGAACGTGGATTCTAAGAACCAGGTTTGATAGCTTTGGGCATGAAGCTGGCTGGTCAATTCTGTACCCTACAGAATCCACATCGTCTTCCTAATTCTATAGTAGTTGATGACCAGGCTAAATAAAGGAAACTTTGTTAGGTAACTATCATTCAAATCAGGCCAGGCTATGAGAAAGAAACATACCCACAAAACTGAAACCCCAGAATTGAGTGCCACCGACCCTCCACAGCATTTGAACAGTTATTTGCATTGGGAATCGGTTCAATACTTGCTTATATTTCTGTCCTTTTACTTTAATCACCATATTCCCTGCTTTCAGTAACACACAATCCTGGGTCATCCTCCCTCTACCCCCAATTTTTACTACTGATTAAGTTTTCTTTTTAAAAAGACTTAATCCCACTGGACCTTTTTCAGACATGTTCTTTTTTTTTTAATCCTCAGCCGAGGACATTATTGCATGTATCTTCAGATAGAGCGGGAGGGAGAGAGGGAGGAAGAGAGAGAGAGAGAAACATCAATATGAGAGAGATATATCAAGTGGTCGCCACCCGCACAACCAACCAGGGCCAGGGACAAATTGCAACCAGGGTACATGCCCTTAGCGGGAACCAAACCCGGGACTCTCCAGTCTGCAGGCCAATGCTTCAACCCCTGAGCCAAACTGGTCAGGGCCAGACATATTCTTTTCAATAGTCATGCCTGATTCTGTGAGATAAAGCCTCAAATATGTCCCTTTATGTACAATGATGAACTATTTTTAAATGGACCATCATTTTCCCAGAATTCTATCAGAAGAGATATATTTCACTTGTACCAAATACCACACGACTGATGCTAGTGTTGAAGTACAATTGATTCATACAAAATGAGCATTAGCACTTGCCATTTCTTTTAAAGCCTTTTTCGAATTGCCTGCTATTTGATTTCTTAAGTCCCCTCAGCTAGTGCATGCAATAGACTTCCGAGAGCTGGCCACTCTTCCCTGATTATAAATATGCTGAGGAAGTCAACTATGGCAGGTTTCCTGATTCTTTCTAAACTTGACTTTAGTGCCTGAAGCTTCGTTGCCATTCATCCAGTATCTAACATTTCGTCAGACTGAAGACTGTCCCAGAGATTCCACCCAGGTCCTCCGCTCCGAACACAGGATACAAGTGCAAGAATTCTGTTGATGAACACTTGTAGAAGACTCAGTCTGTGGGCCAGGCATCCTCCTGGATACTAGACGATGAAAGGAGATGATAAAAACTTGGCTCCTGCCCTCAAGCAAGGTGCAGAGCCTAGTGGTTACATTTGGTAACTTGATTATATTGGCTGTAGGGACGTCAGTCGTCCATTTTTAACTTTCTTTAGTCCTAAACTCCCCTTCTTCTGATCCTAATTCTGATGTTGATAAAAAATCATTTTAAAGGGGCTCATGGCAAATTTCCTTCTGCTGTTCTGTCATTCCTGTTGAGAGAGTGTGCCATCATCCTGCGGGTTCATCTAGCAGAGAAAAGCCTCTGATGGGAACTACGGAGCGTGGATAAGTCTGTCTTCAACCCTGGTCTTTCACAGCTAAGGGCAGATGGCACTCACCTTTCACCTCCTTTCATCAACATGAAAGCTAAGAATGTGATACATTACAGCTTACTCTTAAGAGCATAAACATTTTGTAGCTTCAGCAAAAATAGGCTGCTTCTGTAGGTCTTCAGTGATACAGGCATCTGGTCACCTCCCAATTTGGACGAAGCCAAATGGAGGTAGGTCTGGAGGGGGCCTCCAGACACAGCAGGAAGCTGTCGTGTGGAGACAGTGCCACAAATTGCTGGTGTCATTAGTCCCAAATGCCACAGAAAGGCAGGCCCGATCTTACGTGTGCCTGAGCCTGTCCAGTCCACTTCTTGGGACAACCTCATGCCTGCGTGAGAGCCAGTGGGGCTGATCTCATCATCCATCCATTCATTCCAACTCACAACCCATGCTCAGCATGCCCTGAACTCTCTGGTTGCAATGCGGCCTGGTTTTCCTGGCTGTACAGTGTCTTAAGGACTGGGTTGAGCTCCCAGGGTGCGGGGAGAGGACAGTAACAAGAGACATTTTCTGTCCCTCTTACAGACTCTCAGAAGGGAGCTAAACAGCGGTCTAGTGCTCCCCAAGGAAAATCAGAGAGGCTGTTCTTTCCTGAAAACCCCAGACCTGAATCCACAGACGGTGAGGCAGTGTTAGGGTGGAAGGTGGGCATCGGAGTTGAACTACGAGCCAGAAGAGGGAATCTGGGCTGATGGATTTGTGAAAGAAGTCCATTCAGCGTGCATGTCCTTGCCTCATAACTGCCTCTCTTTCAAAATATAGAACAGCAATAGTGGCACTTTTGATTATTTAAAAAGAATCCCCCCCAAAAGGCAGAATCTTTCTTTTTTCCCTGCAAAAGACAAAGAAGAGGGCAAATTAGAGTAAGTGGTTTTCCCTTGAACCTTTTGTCATAATTTTGTTTACTACACTATCCAAAACATAGAACTCTCTCCCAGCTGCTTTCTATGGAGAAAACCCATTAGAAAGGACTCATTCCCCAAAGCTGCTCCACTCAATGGTCTCATTGGTGTATTCATTCATACAGTGTGTATTTGAGTGCCCACTCTGTGCTAGGTCCTGAGGATAAAATGGTGAAGGGGTCTGTATGCAGGCCCGGGGGGTGGGGGGGGTTGCAGTCTCTCCATAGCAGGAGAGAGACTAGTTTAATAAATTACACAAGGAACCGCTAGGTAGGCATCATTTCTGTACTAATGAGAGGCATTCAGATCTAAATCCCAAAGGCACAGTGAACTGTTACCCTGTGTTTCTGCTCCTTTTAGTCACTAACTGTTTGTTAATGCAATCGATTCCCTTTTATTTTTTATTGGGTATTAAATGTATGTAGTAACAAAATTCAAATAATACACAATATTGTACAATAAAGGTAACTCTTCCTCTGACCTCCCAGACTTCTGGTCCTGCCAGAGTCTATCACTGTTATTAACTTCTCTCTAGGCAATCTTTTGAAATTTTTACCTGTTCTAGGCTGAATTATGTCTTCCCAAATGTCATGTGTTGATATCTTAACCCCTAGTACCTCAGAGAATGAACATACTTGAAGACGGCACCTTTAAAGAGGTCATTAAGTTAAAATGAGGTCAGTTGGGTGGACACCATTCCAATTAAAATGGTGTCCTCGTGAGAAAAGGAAATTAAGACAAAGACACACAGAGGAAAGACCATGTGAAGATATAGGAATAAGACGGCCGTCTCCAAGCCAAGGAGAGAGCCCTCAGAAAGAAATTACCTTACCAGCACCTTGATCTTGCACTGCCAGCTTCCAGAACTGTGTGAAAGTGAGTTTCTGTTGATTAAGCCCCTGGTCTGTGGTATTTTGTTATGGCAGGCCCAGCAAACTAATTATCTCACACTAAGAGAACAAAATGCACAGCCAGTAGAAAAGGACAAATATCAAACGGTGTAGCACGCCACACAAATTTCCCATTTTCACTTTTAGGCACTGACCCCTGGGTTGCCTTTTTTTGTTGTTTTTTGTTACATGCCCCTAGCGGGAACTGAACCCGGGACTCTCTGGTCTGCAGGGCAACACTCCAACCGCTGAGCCAAACTGGCCAGGGCTGGGTTACCTTTTAATATCTGATTATTCTGTGTACAGTTTCAGTGATCTTATTGCTCTCTGTCCAAAACACGTACCATGGAGAAGCATTTTATATTCTGCAACTGGGAATGTCTGCTACCGCACACAGGTCATGGACTCTACCTAAATGTGACTACTAGCTACTTACCCAGACTGCAGAGAGGGCTCCAGCAAATCGGACAAGTGGCCATGGCAGCTGAGATGGCTTCAGCGTGTGCCCCACTCTCCTGTCCAGCCCCGCCCCCGCGCCCACAGTCCAGGATGCTTTCACCGATGCTTAACCTTGTCGTGCTCCTTCTTCCCCATCCTTAACATTTACCTTGATCATTTTTCATTCTGCGGGAAGCCGCTCTCAGAGAGAGTAATGTAAGTAGAAATAGCTCTGAACTTGAAGCCAGAAAAACTTTATCTGATTCCTGGCTCTGCCTTGGAGCAGCTTGTAAGCTACATGATCTCAGGTATTTGATTTTATGTCCCTAAACCCTGCCAGGGACAATACCAGCTGCCCTGCCTTCCTCATCTGGCTCATTGCCTTTGTTTTCACCTCTAATCCAACTACCAGCCTGGACGACTTCAGTGTCCACAGGGACGGGTCTGATGGATACTGCTATCAGTGTTATGTGATGTCACATTCAACACCCTGGCTAAAATCCGATGAC